AACTCTAAAATAGATAGATAAAAGCAAGTTGGTTGCATGCAGGTCTCTCTTTTTTTCATGTGCTCTTGTTCCTCTCTGCCAGGTTGTGTCAGATGGTGGCCCCATGCTCTTGGACTTTCCAGTCACCAGTACTGAGTCAAATAAACCTCTTTTCTTTATCAATTACCCAGTTTCAGATATTCTGATATAGCAACACAATGCACAGTGGACTAAGATAGACAGAGGGCTGTCCTGTGGCCTGGTGGTTAAGGGAGCCAGATCTCACATGGCCGACACTGTGGTTCAAATCCTGGCCTCAGCTCCTTGAAAGTCACACCAGGTACATGTGTATATATGCCCCAAATCCCAACAGGATGAGAAATGGTGGACTTAGATGTGACCATGCCCCACTGAGGAGTGCTTTCTCCCCTCCAAAAGAGACAGATAGGAAATAAGTCTATTTGACCAAATGGTTTGGCTATGGGGGTTAGTTTTTCCAGTGAAGTTATATTTTCTACAATTGGAATGAACTAGATCCATAGCTCTAAGCTTTTGATTAAAATATACGTAAAGCACTTACTGAATATATGCTACACCAGAATTTTCATTGTTTGCAACTATTTCAAGTTCTGATGACCACTGCCTTACATTAACACCCATGACACCATAAACACCTCGGACTCTTTACCATCCTCTGTCTGGTCAGTCCTCCCAGGCTTCAGCCAAACCACTCCTGCTCCTTGGTGCTCTTCCAGGTCTATACTTTGTATGTGCCTGTGGCAGTTCCGCCGCTGGATATACTCTTCCATCCATCTCAGTGTGTTGCAATCCCACCTGACATCTGCCTGGTCTTGTACTCGCTGGGCACAGGGGATGTGTGTTTTCATAGAGTATGAGAGTCTTGTATGGAGACAGAGAAGTGAGCAGGGATGACATGGTATTCTAAGAGATACTATGTAGAACCACAAGGTGCTGCAGGCACCTTTCATGCACCGGGGGAGGTCAAAGAGGTCTTCTCAGAAGTAGTCAGATGGGGCCAGCAGGTTGAGGATCCGGACACTCTCACACGGACAACCACAGTTTGGGTCTCAGACCTAGTGGCTTCCTTTCTCACTTTGTGTGTGTGTGTGTGTGTGTGTGTGTGTGTGTGTGTGTCTTTGGTCAAATTAAAATAAATGAATGAAGAAATAAAATTAAATAAATAATTCTTCAAAAAGAAAAGAATAAAAAATGGAGTGATCTGAAAGCCGAGACCTTCTGATGAGTCTGCCATTTTGCAAAGAGAGGAGAACAGGACTGATCTTTGCCAAGAGAACAAAAATGAGTTAAAGTGACATTGTTAAGGCAATTCCTCGGTGGAGTCAGGATTCTAACCATGAGGGACACACTTAGTTAACTCTAGTGTCCAGATACAAACATCTACCAAGCTCAACCTGCTTTACTTTTTTCAGAGAATGGCCACATCTTCTCAAAAGCCCAATTATAGAACAAGCTAAAAGTCAAGGGAAAGGTCATCTCTAAAAAACTTTTCCCTTATTTTTTGCCAAACATAAATATTTGGATCTGACCTCAATTGCTGAGGGAATGAGTAGTCTTTTTATATAGAGTTCACCAGAAATAGTGCTCAGTGAATGCTCTTGGGACATCAATGAGGAAAACAACAGGTACTTTGTGTATGTAGCCCTGTTCTGAGGGCGGAGGCACCCCATAAGTAAAAAGTAATGAGATACAGAGACCCACAGAGGAGGCAACGTTCCTTTACAAGGGGCTGCCTTGCACCACACAGGGGAAAAGACTGAGGGCTCAAGGTGTCTGGCTCCCACTACCCTGCTTCTGTTCTGGCACTGTCCTGAGCCAGAGGCCCTGAATGCCCCTTCACCAGATGTTAATTCTCTATTCAATGCCAATGCTTAGTGCTAATTTTTTAAAAAAATTATACAACTTTATTCATTCATTTTTTAAAAAATTTGAAACCTAAAAAGCAACAATAAAAAAAAAAAAACGGGGTTGTCAGAAAAGTCATGATGTATTTTTCTGTTCTTCTATGCAAAAACGTTTTTAGATAACCTGACAGTATGTAAAAAAAAGAAAGAAAGGAAGAAAATAAAATAAAAGAAAAGAAAGAAGGCAGCTCTGTATCCTAGTGATTAAAGGAACCAGATCCCACATGGCTGACCATGTGGTTCAAGACCCAGCTCTGGTGCCTTAAAAAAATTCTAGTGTGCCCAAAATCCTGACAAGGATGGAGAAGGAGATGGTATTGCAATTTGAGCATGCCCCATAAGGGGTGCTTTCTTCTTCTCCCTCTCTCTCTTTCTGTTTCTGGTGAGCACATATTCTGTGTGGCCTTAAAAAAAAAAAAAAAAAAAAAAAAGACAGAAGGAATAATAGAAGTAAGCCATGACAGATATTGAGCACAATTTAGTGCTCAATAACTTTTTCTAAAGAGAATTTTTTATTTAATTTTTAAAATTTCCCATAGAGCATATGCACTCACCAGAGAGGCAGAGACAGAGAGAGAGAGAGAGAGAGAGAGAGAGAAAGAAAGCAAGAAAGCAAGTTGCCAGGTCCAGGACTTGAACTATGGCTGGCCATGTGGGACTGAAATGCCCCAACCAATGCACCACCCGCTGGTCCCGAGTACTCAATGGCTTTATGTTTATTTAAAATAGAAGATATCAGCAGTCTTCTAGTTCTCTGATACAATCCATTGCCACAGTGGGTTTTTAACTTCTCATCCTATTCTCTTAGTTACCTATTTTATTCAAGCACCCACACAGAGGGTAAACATTTTCTCTATGATCACTACAGTGGAAGAATCAGACAGGTCTCATCCATGAGGGCTTAGTTATTGAGCTACCAAACAATGTCCTTATAAAACAGTGACTAGGGACTGGCAAGTGGCATGATGGCTAAAGTACTGAACTCCCACATGGCCAACTGTGGTTCAAATCCTAGACTTGGCAGCTTGCTTCTCACTTTCCCTGTCTCCTGTCTCTCTCTGGTCAAATTTAAACAAATAATAATAATAACAAATAAAATGAAATAAATAAGAGACCAGTGGATGGCATAATGGTTATGTCACTGGACTCCCACGTAGTCGACCATGGTTCAAGTCCCAAACTCAGCAACTTAAAAATTCATGCCAGGCACATGTGTGTGTACCCAACATCCCAAGAGAATGGAGAAAGGATTGGGGTGTGGGTGTCCCCCGAAAGGGTAATTTCTCACTTTCTATTTCTTGGTCTCTGTCTTTCCAGCAAGCACATGCACCCTATAGCAAGTAATTTGTCTAAAAAATTATTAATAATAACAATAAATACAATTAAATAAGGGACCAGTAGATGGCATAATGGTTACATTGCCGGACTCTCATGTAGTGGACTGCAGTTTGGATCCTGGATCTGTGGTTTAAAACTTATGCCAGGGCTGGGGACAAGCAGATGGCATAATGGCTACATCACTGGACTCCCACGTAGTCGACCGCAGTTCAAGTCCTGGACTCAGTGGTTTAAACTCATGCCGGGCATGTGTGCATGCGTGCCCAAGATCCCAAGAAGAGAGTGGAGGAGAAGGGATTGTAGCAAGTCCATCTCCCCTGGGTGTGTGTGTGTGTGTGTGATTTCTTGCTTTGCCTCCCTGTCTCTCTGTCGAGCACACATGCCCTATAGCAAAAACCTCTCCAAAAATAAATAAATAAATAAATAAAACTTACACCAAGGGACCAGTGGATGGCGTAACAGTTATGTCACTGGACTCCCATGCAGTTGGCGGCGGTTTGATTCCCGGACCTAGCCGTTTAAAAGTCACACCAAATGCATGTGCGTGTGTGTCCAATATCCCTAAAGGAGAATGGAGACGGGATTGCAGCGTGACCACCCCTCCTCGGGGATGATATTTCGCTTTCTGTCTCTCTCTGTCTCTCTGGTGAGCACACGTGCCCTATAGCAAAACTTCATTTTTTCAAAAACAAGGAAACAAACAAACAAATGCACACCAGGTGTGTGTGTGTGTGTGTGCCCAAAATCCTGAGAGAAGAATGGAGGAGAAGGGATTGTGGTGTGGCCATCCTCCCTGGGGGATGATTTCTCACTTTCTATCTCTCTGTCTCTCAGACGAGCCCACATGCCCTATAGCAAAAATCTCTCTTAAAGAAAAAATAAATTATTCTTTTAAAAAAAACTGGCTATATTTATATGGAAGTAATATGACATGAACACCAAGAACTACGAAATCATAGAGCTTTACCATTGATAAAGCTACTTCATCTCTTTCAAGAAAACCATTACAAATTCATCCTAGAATACAAAACCCAGTTATCAAGCTCTGAACAGTTGGAACTGTGTGATAGTCTGACTCCATTTCAAATGCTTCCTATCAGTGATACATGTTTTTCCAGATGGCTGGGGCCAACTGTGATCTGCTCTAAAGTTCTGCTTTCTGCTAGTTCTCCAAGCACTTTCTGATTATGAGCTTTAACGAAGTTTGCAACCATGGTGAATGCATGTTTATGTTAAAGCGCGTATATAAACGTGTTTGCAAATGGGTTTAGACCTTTGCGCCGAAAGGGCCTAATGTCTCCCAAGTAGAAAAATCTTCAAGTGAATCAGAACTGACTTAAGAGTTTGAAAATCGTAGCTTTGATCTTATATCAAACCACAGGCAAGGCCACATTTTAACACCTTCCTACTCATAGATGAGTTTTATTTCTGTCACCCCCCCCACCTTTGAAATTCTTTCCATTAAAGCAAAACCAGTTCTATTCAGGAGAACAAGCAACTTCTGTCCCTGACACTCCTCTGCATGCAGTGATGAGAAACAGTTTTCGTTCTCTGCTGTGTCTGAGAGATGGGTAGGAACAATGGAACGAGGTTTGCCTCCCGACATCCTGCAGCACCAGATTTTCTTGAGACCATTAATATTAAAAACACCGGTTCTTTTAGGCCCAAGAGCTCCTCAACACTGAGATACTTTCTTTTTTTAATTGCTAGAGAGTACATGGGCTGGCCAGAGACAGAGAGAGATAAGGATGGCCAAGAAAGCACTCCCAAGGGGACATGGCCTTGATGCAATCCATTCCCCTTCATTTCTCCATCCAGTCTGGATTTTCCACATACACACAGACGCTTGCGGAAATTTGAACCACGATGACAGTATGGGTTCTGGCTCCTTTAACCACTAGGCTACTGGACTGGCCCGAGACCATTTTCTTTAGGGGGTCAGTTTAGTTGCTTTTTAGATAAGTGGATTGCATGTGAACACTACCTTGGTGCTAGATCTTTTCCAGGGCAAAAAGTGGGACCTTCAACCACAAGCTCGGGTAGGGCCTTGCAGCTTCGCAGCACGCCCAGCAGATGGCGCCGCAGCTGAATTTTCGCAGGCCGCCGGTCCCTTCGCCCGTAGAAGAGTCTGGAATAAACAGGAAGTGGAATTTTTAAAAGCATTCTAATTTTCAACATATATTGCCTTCTTTGTTATCTTACAGGCCCTTTTTTCTCGAACAAGTTGAATTGCATTGGGGATGTTTTTAAAAAATCACTGATTATGCAATCTCAAAGACATGTTGTTTTTAGGGTTTCCACTCTTTCAACATACCCAAAAAGCAGCTTTCAAATAGTATTTATTGGCACAGTGCACGGTGATTCAGAAATGTTATTAGGCAGCTCTGGGTAAAAACAGATCCTAAAGGACCAGCAAGGCGTGGCGCCAACCAGGTTCCGGAGGCTATGGCGGAAATGGCCTTTGTGGCGGGTGGGGGGGGGGGGGGGCGCCCGCAAGACAGCGCCGCCTGCTGGTGGAAAGAGACAAAGAGCTCGAGCTGGCCAGCCCGCGGTGCAGCTCCAGGGACATCGTAGGCGGCGCACCCCACCTCTAATGGTCCTGGCGCTGAGTGCTGCACATTATTCCCCTTAACCAACGAAACTGAAGATTATGACACAACCCGAGCCGCCTTTCTGTCGAGAAGTGAAACTTAGAGGCCTGGTATGGCTTTGCTATGCGCTAGACGGTGTTTCAAAGGGCTTATTATTATTATTATTATTTTTAACATTTCCTGAAACTAAAACGGGTGGATTTCAATTTTAGGGTCTCATTATTTAAGGTAATCCTAAAAGAGAACGAAAATAAAGCCAAATGGAGCCTACTTTCACTTATTCTCTCGCTTAAATGAGATTTACAAAATACAATTGTAAAAGGGGTTAGCAAAAGCAAAATGGAAAACAGACAGGGGGCAAGTTTCAAGGTGGATATGCTTATCATCTCTGACCATGGCCCGTCATTTTTATTCCAGGATTGTTGCAGTGCCCTTCCTAGAGTCCCTCCTCCTCTCCCCACTTCCTTTTCCTCTTCACTCATTTGACAGGAGTCTCTGCAATCATCTGCTTAGAACACGTCGGCGTCATCCACTGGGAGAGAACGGTGGTACCACCTTTCTCCCCCTATGGCTGAAGCCCACAGAGAGAAGATGAAGGCTGCTCCTGCTCTGGAGCCGGCTTGAGTGCCGGGAAGTGTAAGCCGCGAGATGATGTCAGTGCGGCTTCCCTCTCTGTAGGTGCCCTGCCGATCTGCAGATGCTTTCTCCTGCAGAGCCCTGCCACTCACGTTGTTCCAAAGATTTGCTAATAGCCCTCTGGTCCCTTAGTAGATTCTGTCTTATTTAATTTACTTACTTACTCACTTTTGCTATAGGGAGTGTGCACTCACCAGAGAGACAGCGGGTGGAGGAAGTGAGAAAGCATGGGGGGAGGTGGCCATGCTGCAATCCCTTTGGGGATTTTGGGCACACACAAGCACGCAGTGTGATTCTCAAGCCACTGGGTCCAGCACTCAAACCATGCCAATAGCCATGTACGATCTAGCTGTCTTCACCACACCACAGCCCAGTACTATTTTAATTTTATTAAGTCTTCTGTGTGCCTGCCAGAGAGAGACACAGAGTGAGAGAGACAGAGGGAGAAACCACACAGAGTGAGAGAGACAGAGGGAGAAACCACCCCCTGGTGGGACGTGGTCATGCCGAAATCCCTTCTCCATTTTTCAATCCTGTCAGGATTTGGGGCACATAGGCATACATGCCTGGTCTGTGTTTCCTGGCCAGGGCCAAGGTTCAAACCACTGCTGGCCACATGGGATCCAGCTTTCCTTAACCACGAGGCTAAGGGACTGGCCCAAAGTAACCATCTTTTAGATTTTGGAGTTGTACATCTCTTATTTTTCTTCAAGTAAGGGAGTAAAGACCCATAGGAAGATTCCATTTGGTCTCCAAGTCCGGCTGTTTATTAGGTCCCTATTGTCTGACATGAAGGTTTTCATCTCCCATCAGGGCATGGTTGTAGGTATACAAAACACAACTCTCTCTTTTGTCAGTAGCACTAGAAACATTGTAATTAGAAACTCAACTAAAACAGAAGACTTCTTGAGGGGCCCAGAGAAGGTTGGGCCCCCAAGTCCAGTAAGTGACCACTTGGGCCGGAACCGTCACAATCTGGATCCAACCAGGTGAGCACTGAGAGCTCAGTGTTTGGAGAACAAAAAAAGAGCAGTGGGTATATAGTAACTTCGTGAATCAGGGCCGGTCCAGGAAGATACCTGACATTTGTTTATCTTCAGAGAAAGAGGGGAGGAGGGACTGTTTCCCTCAGTGTTACTGTTTCCCTCAATGTTACTGTATTTTAAAAAGTATCCTTCAGGGAAGGATGTGTGAAGGAGGAGCTGATAACATTAAATACTGTGCAGCACATCTCCCAGTGCCTGCACAGCAGAACCAAGTTGTTACTCAGTAATCGCAGGGACACAGCCCCAGCCTCCCCTGCCGCAGTCCCCAAGGGGAGTAGGCTCAGACAAAGGAAAGCAGTTTCTCTAACGGGGGAGGGGCGCCCGCTCTCTCTTTGTTCTTGAAAAATGGGCTTTCTCTCAAGCCGCATACACCAGCTGCTTTCACCTCTTTCAGGGGGCCAGAATAAATGAATTGCCAGTAATAATTTGGACAGCATATTTTGAGCCCTGAACTCTGAAATGCAGGGTCAAACTATTTTTAGAATTCTAACATGCTGTAAGTTTTTACTCTGGTTTTCCAGACAAAAAAAAAATGTCAGAAATCTTTTTACCAAAATAAAAAGATCACTTTCAGAAAGAAATGGTGGAGACAGTGTTTTGAATAATATTTAACCTAATAATTACATGTCATAAACCTTACACTTAAGAATCTCTTTTCCACAGAAGTAGGATTTAATGAGCTAATTTCTTTGCTAAGAAATCCCTTTAATAGTTAAAAACATAAAAAAGTGGTTCTCTGAGAAATCTCTCTCTTTTACATTATAATTGAAATTTTTCTTATAAGAATTATTTAATAATATAGCCCCTTTAAGAGAAAAGGAAAAAGAAAAAAAACACATTCAGTATGGCCTACCACCGATCTAAGTGTGGAATTAAGACAAAGGGGGCTTGGTTCCTGTATCAGAAATAGGCATGCCACTTCCTGAGCACTCAGAGCATCTGCTCCCTGGACCCAGTCTCAATCCAAATGCCACATGTGGTTTCTGCGTGTGACAGCTGAAGTGGCCTTTGATGTCCAGTTGGAATTTCAGTTTGAGCAGACTAGAATGGGCTCACATACAAACCTCAGATGGGTCCTATCGGTCAGAGAAAGCTTACTGGGCTGAGAGGGGCTAGGCGGACATTTTAGAAACAGTAACAGTTCATTTACTGGATATTTACCTTAAAAAAAAATAAGGTAGTTTGAGTGTTCACACAGTATCCTCGGGTTCTTTTATTTATTTTTTAGCGTGATTTTTGTGATAGGGCAAGTGTGCTCACCAGAGAGACAGAGAGACAGAGAGCAAGAAAGTACTCCCTGGGGGGATGGCCACACTACAATTCCTTCTCCTCTATTCTTTCGGGATTTTGGGGCATGCACGCACACATACCTGGTGTGAGCTTTAAGGCCCTGGGTCTAAGACCTGAACTGCAGTCATCTACATGGGAGTTCAGTGACATAACCATTGAGCAATATGCTGGTCCCATGCTTGGGTTCTTTAAGACAGTTCCTACTCTTTTTTGGATTTCATCTGCCTGTTAATATCTGTTCATATTGTGTCCAGAACAACAGAAGATCTGCACATATCTATGAAAGCAAGTCTTAGGTGTGTGGGGCGCAGGGCCTCTCTGCAGCTTTGGGTCTCATTCGTTCCAGCTTTGTCAAGAGGAAGTGAGAGCAGGGCTGGCAGGTGGCGCGGTGGTTAAGGCGTCTGGACTCCCACATGGCTGACCACGGTTAGTGTCCTGGACCTAGCAACTTGCTTTCTCGCTTTCCTTCTCTCTCACTGTCTCTTCTGGTCAACTTCAAAAAAATAAAATATAAAAAAATAATGACAATAAAATTAAATAAAATATTTTTTTAAAAAAAGAGGAGGTGAGAGCAACTCCCAGCCAGGAAACCAGCCTCTCACTGGCATTTAAGGGAGAGATGATCTAATGGCTCCAGTTCTATAGGCAAATTTCTAAAATTATTTTGAAGACAGATACGGAATAAACAGGTGTTAAAGGTTTTAATTACAAATTATATCTTTGGTTTTTTGTTTGTTTGTTTGTTTGTTTTGGAGAGGTTTTTGCTATAGGGTGCGTGTGCTCACCAGAAGGAGAGAGACAGAGAGAGAGAAAGTGAGAAATCCCCCAGGGGGGATGACCACGCCTCAATCCCTTCTCCTCTGCTCTCCTCTTGGGATCTTGGGCACGCACACACACGCGCCCGGCATGAGTTTAAGCCACCGGGTCCGGGACTCAAACTGCAGTTGACTACATGGGAGTCCAGCGACATAGCCATTACGCCAGCTGCTGGTCCCCAGATTATATCTTTGTAATTAACATAAAATTTTGATACATTTTTGCATAGGAAAAATAGATCTGTCATGACTTTTCCGACAACCCAGTATATTCATAACACGATTCATTGTTTATGTTATTATCAGTTATCCAGAGAATAACATAGAAAGCCTTTCATCTGACAGGTTCAAAGTTCTTTCAGCGTTACTTTGCAGATTAAGGAACTTCTGTTTAAAAATTGTAGGCATTTTGAAGACTACGGCCATGTTTTATACTTCCTTTTTTTTTTTTTTTTTTTTTTGGATATTTTTGCTAAAGGGTGGATTTGTTTGTGCTCGCTGGAGAGACAGAGAGACAGAAAGTGAGAAATCACCCCTTAGGAAGGATGGTCATGCCCCAATCCTTTCTCCTCCGTTCCCCTCCTGGGATTTTGGACATGCATGCACATGCACTTGGCGTGAGTTTCAAGCCTCTGGGGTCCGGGACTCAAACCGCAGTCAGCCATGTGGGAGTCCAGTGATGAAATCATTATGCCATTTGCTGGTGTCCCTACACTTCCTTTTTTCTTCTACTTCTGGTTTTTTTTTTTTTTTTTTTTTTCGTAATTGCTAGAGGGCACATGCACTTGCCAGAGACATGGAGAGACAGAAAAAAAGGGAGTGTACCCCTAATGGGGTGTGGTCACACCACAATCCCTTCTCCTCCTTTTCTCCTTTTAGGATTTTGGGCATTCATGCACATGTACACAGCATATATTTCAAGCCAACAAGGCTGGGATTCAAATTACAGTCAGCCATATAGGATCTGGCTCCATAACCACTAGGCTACCGGGCTGGCCCTATACTTCCTTTATATTTTACAAGTCCCAGCAGGGTATCATGTATGTAGTACCACTTAGGAAATACTTGCTTTAAAAAAAAAAGAAAAAAAAGCAATAACAAATAACCGTGCTCTAATTCCGAGAGTAGGCCTGTCTTTATCCTCACTTCTGGGGACTGAATAGTGATATTTAATTGAAAGAAAACAGAACTGGAGATGTTGCCACTTCTGTGAGTGATCAAAGCAGCTGACCTTCCTATATAACAAAAACTGTACTGAGTACTTGACACACATTATCGTATTTAAACTTCACCACCCCCAACAGGCTGACCAGTACTATAAGACCACTCCTACTTTACGCATGACAAAACATGACACAAGTCACACAATTAATAAATAGCTACGTCAGGACTCGAATCCGGTTACCAGTCTCCAGTGCCTTTAGGAACAATCCTCATTAACAGAATATCTGATAATGAGAAGCATAACTCCACTTAGTAAGTACCTTTCTCCAAGCCCCACAGAACAGTATCTGAAGTGGGAGGAAAAGAGGAGAAAGCCTAACACGGTTCATAACATAGCATCTCAATATGCCGAGTTTAACGTTCCTTCCTGTGCATTATCTCACGTAATCCTCACAGCACCCTGTGAAGTCTGCTACTGTTATATTATCCCTTATGTGCATTAAAGAAATAACTGTTTAGAGGACAGGGAGTGCAATAGGAAGTAAATGCTAACGTGTTCAGGAGCAGGGAGGTAGCACAGCTACTGAAGACTCGGGCCTGCCCTAGGCCTCTCATTTGGCTCACAGGACTGCTGTGGGCACTTCCTACTTCCTTCTCTTCTGATATGTTGTTGGCAACACTCTCTAGTCAGCAGTAAAGCGTGTACTTGTCTCTACCTGCCCCATAAATACAAATATGGTTAATATTGACTTGCTGTGTCATTAAGCCATTTTAAAAGCACAGGCAAGGTAGAGAGGAAACAGCATGTATGGCATGCTATGTAACGGTTAAAAGAATGAATTAGATTTCAACATACTGCCATGAAAACATCTCCATGCAAAACTTTTTTTTAAAGCAAATTGAGAACAAAAAGTACAGTTATGGTACCATTGTGTTTTAAAAAGTCACACAAAACAATAGATACATCCACACCCACATCTGTGCAAACACAGATAGAAACAGTTGGTCATAACTCCAATTGGTAAGAATGGTTTCCCTGGGGAAAAGACTGGGTTTGGCATAAGAAGGATAGTATTAGTGGACTTTGGTTTTATTTTTTTTTAAGCATAATTTATTTATATAATGTGTATGTAAAAGAAGGAAAGAACAGGAAGAAGGGAGAGAAAGAAATGATGCTGTCAGAAAATAAGAGCTAGCAACATGCCATAAAGAAGGTATACCGGGCTGGCAGGTGGCATGGTGGTTAAGGGTAATGGACTCCCACATGGTCGACATGGTTCAAGTCCCAGACTTGGCAGCTTGCTTTCTCACTTTCCCTCTCTCTCTCTCACTCTGTCCCTCTCTGGTCAAATAAAAATAAAAATAAATAAATAAAGTTGAATAAAATAATTCTAAAAAAAATAAAAATATAAAAGGAAGAGATACCAAAGCACCAAGCTAAAATTTGCTGTTTCATTCATGCCCACAAAAGACCAAGAGACTGGAAGAGAAGTCCCCATGTTGACATTATTATTATCAATTCAATGTCTTTTAAAATTGAATGTCTCTTATCTCTACTGGAAATACAGTCCTGAGAAGTTCACAAGCTTTGGAACTGGATGACCTGGGTTCATGGTCTGACTCTGCATTTCTCTGTAAGCATGGGCTAATTTCTCAGGGCCTTAGTTTCCTTATCTGCAGAGTGAAGAGAACAGTAAAACATTTTACAGGGAGCTGTGAGGAGTAAATGAGATAACCAATGAAAAGAACACCTAACCTTGCAACTGAGACTTGTAAATTACAAATTGTATTAGTGCTGGCCCTCTTCCCACTTTACAGAATTATTGTTCTCTTACACCTCTAAGACATCTGAATGTCCCACACTGATAAACTAATAAATCATTAATCTTCAGTACATGAGGGAACTTTAAAAATGTCACAGAAAATAGAAATAAAGCATGGGTTTATTTTGGTGCAGGACATTTTTGAAATCTGTGCATAGTTTTTTCATAACATGCATTTTCCATAAACTATTATCCTTTGTAATATCTGATGATGGGCTGCTGTTATTCAAGACTTTAGATTATGCAGATGTATGATTTTTCAGCTTCAGTAACCCATATTCATAAATTTATTTTAAGGAATATACTTATTTGATTTTATTTTTAAAATATATCTCTTCCTTGTGAAATCTTTTGATGCAAGAATTAAAATATCCAAATCAGGGATGCTATTGGAAGTATAAGCCAAAAATATAACTAAAAATTTTTTTGCATTTAAAAATGTGTTTATTTGTGGTCCTAATAAAATTTTAGACTGTTCTGAAATTTCAAGAATCCAATTATAAGTCTTATAATTAAAGGGATTAGAAAAATAAAGAGAAACTCTAATGCCACTAATATAATTATACACAAAAAACCCACATGAACTAATTCATCAATAGCAGTTGCATGCACACAGTACCATGTCCAAGCCATGCACGATGTAACTATTTTTGATTACGGTCTCACCTTTGAGAGAGAGCCAGGTTCTCCTCTGCTTTTGCTGGATGTGCATGTGTTAAAAAGCGCAGGGACCTGAGGTGTTCTGGTAAAGTAAATAAGAATCCAGTTAGAGATGTTTTGCGGGTTGAGTTCAGAAAGGATCCATTTGAAGGAACCAGTTCCAAGCACACAAAGCACACATCCCTCCCATGCTCCTCCACCCCATTAAACTGGGCTGTCATTTTAGAGCTGGGCACCCATTGTTCACTTTCTTCTACTCTAATTAGATTTGACAGATTGCTCTTTCTAGCTAGACTGGCTGTTGCCAAGAACAGAGAGAAGAGACGAGGCTGACCTTGTCATTATGCCCTTGGGATCAGGGCCCACCCCACCCCCATTCTAGTCTGCAGATCACTGAGACACATCCTCTGCAGCTTCTAGCCTGTTCTCCAGCCGTTCTTACATGCCCCCTGGCAATCTTCAAACCACCCGAGTTTTCTTACTTTCTACATTGTGAGATGCAAAGACTAGGTAGGCTGCAGAGAGTGAGGTAAATGGTGCTCTAATATTTGTCATAATCATTCTCTGACTCTTTTCTTTCTTTCTTTCTTTCTTTTTTTTTTTCTGCAGGCCTGGAAAGAGAAACAGATCTCAGCTTTTCAAAAGGGAAAGATACTGCAGTTTCTCTGGTGAGCCAGAAAATATTGATTGCTTAATGAGACAGAGCTTAAAAAGGATTCCGTGTGTCTAAATCAAACGCCTTGCCACAATGCCCTCAGTTTCCATATCTGTAAAATGTCATCAACAATTCTTGAACCTTTGCATATCAAACATGTTATACTGATACTATGTAAGCATTAAATTATAAAATGATAGAACTAGAAATGATCCTAGAGATCATCTAGTCTAATATCTTTGTTTAAAAGGTTATAAAACAGGGAACCAGCAGTTAGCGTAATGGTTATGTCACTGGACCCTAACGTAGACGACCACGGTTCATGTCCCGGACCCAGTGGCTTAAAACTCACGCCGGGCGCGTGTGCATGCATGCCCAAGATCCTGAGAGGAGAATGGAGGAGAAGGGATTGTGGCGTGACCATCCTCCCTGGGGGGTGATTTTTCGCTTTCTGTCTCTCTGTCTCTGTCTGTCTGTCTGGCAAGCGCACGCACCCTATAGCGATAACCTCTCCAAAAAAAAAAAAAAGGTTATAAAACAGACCAAAAAGAGGGAGGTGACATGCACAGTGTCATGAAATTAGTTAACAGACTTTAAACACCTGGCAGTGAACAACAGCCGGCGAATCAGCTTTGTCACTGATCTGCTTCTTCCCAGTTTATCCTATGCTTGGTAATAAACCATACTGGCCAGGAGAGAAGTATCTCTCCAAAGCTTATATTTTCAGAAATGCATCCCTTCCCTGAGAACCGGCTGGTCTTGTAACAGCCCCTGAGTTACCAAGTACCACATGACTTACATAGGGCATAGGATACAGCTCAACAGGCCGGAGGTGGGGGTCTGCTCCCAAATAGAAGTCCCCTATCCCTGACCCAGCTCTGGCCATGCCATGGGCTTGAGAGTTGTAAGTAGGAATGACGGTTAGGAAGTTCTTCTTGGAACAGCTCTAGTGTTTACTGGGCTGTAATGTAAACTCAGCGCACTCATTTTCCTTTCATTCACCTACTCACAAACATTCTCATTTCACATTCATGAAAGTCCATTATCCGTTAAGCCCCTGCAAGCTGGTAAGACTGCTACAAAGAGTAGAACCTGGCCCTAAGGAGCCTCAGGAGTCAGCAGGGTAAACACTTATGTGCAGTGGAATACATAGGCAGGAACACGTATGTACGGAGCCATGCTGAAAGGAAGAAGTGGTCAATTTCTCTTGGTAGAGATTCAAGGACTCAGAAAAATGTCATAGAGGAGGTGACACTTGAGCTGAGCTTTGGGAAATAAAGGTTATTTTCCAGAGGGAGAGAGATGCTGGTACATGGTACATCTATTTATTAGTTAAGAGAGTGAGTATGGTGGGTTTTTTTTTGGGGGGGGCAGTTTTTAGCTTACATGGAATAAGAAAATAAAGATGAGACTGGAAATTTCGGTGGAGATCAATGAAAACATTATATAAAAGAGGAAAAAGACTGAAGTAACAGGATCCTAACTGCATTTTAGAAAGATGGCTGTCACCTTGATGCAGAAGATGCTTAGAAAGATCAGTGGGAAGCAGCAAGACTCAAGGCAAAAAGACTTTAGACCACTGCAAAGACTTAGGAGAGATAAGACAGTTGGCCTAGTCTCTTCAACAAGTCATTGAGAAGAAAAGAAGGGAGGAGACTGTTGTAGTTTCTAGGAGACTTTAATTACATGCAGAGACATACAACTACATGTAATGTATGGACCCTTCATGGGTGGTGATTCAAACACCACCTGTAAAGGAAAAATCTGGGAGACAACAGTATTAGATGATATTAAAGATTTTTATGGTTAATTGTGCTAGGTGTAGTAATCCTATTGAGGTAATGTAATAATACAGTATATTGAGAGCCGGCAAATGATGTGGTCATTAAAGCGCTGGATGCCAATCACGGTTCAGTTCCAGTCCTGGCAACTTGCTTTCTCACTTTCTCTCTCTCTTTCTCTGGTCAAATTAATAATAATAATAATAATAACAACAATAATAATGGTGACTAAAATTAAATTTAAAAAATATATATATATATGTCACTATAGGGCATGTGTGCTCACCAGAAAGAGAGAGACAGAGAGATAGAAAGTGAGAAATCACCCCCTCCCCAGGGGGGATGGCCACGCTGCAATTCCTTCTCCTCCATTCTCCTCTCAGGATCTTGGGCATGCACGCACATGCGCCTGGAGTGAATTTAAGCCAATGGGTCTGGGACTCAAACTGCGGTCAACTACATGGGAGTCCAGTGACATAGCCATTATGCCATCTGCTGGTCCCAATAATTCTTAAAAAAAAATTGCTATAGGGCACATGCACTCTCAGAGAAAGAGAGCGAGCAGTCATCCAGGGAGGATGACCATGTTGCAATCCCTTCAGGCCTTCCTAACAGTCTTTGCACCTCAATCCACCCGGTCTCGTCGACCAGATCACAGGCGCATGAGCCTGCACTCGTGCTTAGGGAAGTCCCAGGATGCAAAACCAGGACCTTTCCCATGTTAGTCCAGTTACATTACCACTGCCCCACCACCTGGTCCTTTAATTTTTTTTTTTTTTTTGAGAGGTTTTTGCTATAGGGCGCGTGCGTTTGCCAGACAGAGAGAGACAGAGAGATAGAAAGCGAGAAATCACCCCCCAGGGGGGATGGCCACGCCGCAATCCCTTCTCCTCCATTCTCCTCTGGGGATCTTGGGCATGCACGCACACGCACCCAGCGTGAGTTTTAAGCCACCGCGTCTGGGACACGAACCGCAGTTTGACTACATGGGAGTCCAGCGACATAGCCATTACGCTAACTGCTGGTCCCCCTGGTCCTTTAATGTTTTACACAGCATTCTCACTCCTACTGAACTGCAGTGGACATGGCTTGTCTTCCTGTATTTCTAATGGTAGACCTGGTTTTCTTAGGCAATTTTCTGCCCTTGGTCTTTGTGATCTAGGTATGGCTCTTTCCCCTCCTGGCCCTCCTGGAGGAGGGCAAAATGGATTTAAATCAGTCAGTGTATCCCATTTCTGTGGCTTCACTAATTGGTTCAGGATAAGCATGAGCTCTAAGCCTTTCCAGTCAGAGTACATCTCAGGACTTTCTCTAGAATTACTGAAGTAGGGTCTCTCTCTGTCTCTCTGCTGGACATGGAGTTAATAGGATACAGGGCTGCTGAAGCCATTTTGATATCACAAAGAATAAGCTCATTTGAAAAGGAAGCCAAGACATAGCCAAGAGAAAGCTGGAGAGAAACAGAATCTTGGTAATAGAAACAGAGCTCCTGAATCCAGCCATGCATGGAAAGAAAACCAATGTCAGTTATTTGCAACAAAGTCATCTTAACCGATGTAATATTTATGTATACCTTGTTCATCGTTCAACACAAGACTATCAGTAAATGTGTTTTTAATAGAAAAACAGTGAGTTGTAAGAAACAGCAAATATTGGGACCAGCAGTTAGCATAATGGCTATGTTGTTGGACTCCCATGTAGCCGACCATGGTTTGAATCTAGGACCTGGCAGCTTAAACTCACGCAGGGAGCGTGTGCGTGCGTGCCCAAGATCCCGAGAGGAGAATGGAGGAGAAGGGATTGCAGCGTGGCCATCCCCCCGGGGGGGGGGGGGGTGCTTTCCGGCTTTCCGTTCTGTCTCTCTGTCTAATGACGCGCCCTATAGCAAAAACCTCTCAAAAAAAAAAGAAAAAAGAAAGAAAAAAAAAAAGGAAAAAAAAAGAAAGGGACCAGCAGTTAGCGTAATGGCTATGTCGCTGGACTCCCATGTGGTCTACTGCAGTCCGAGTCCCAGACCTGGTGGCTTAAAACTCATGCCAGGCGTATGTGTGTGCGTGCCCAAGATCCCGAGAGGAGACCGGAGGAGAAGGGATTGCAGCGTGGCCATACCCCTGGGAGGTGATTTCTTGCTTTCTGTCTCTCTGTCTCTCTCTGTCTGGCGCACTCCATAGCAAAACAAACAAACAAACGAAAAACAGCAATTATTTATTTCTGTAGAGCAATTTGGTGATATGTATTTATAGTCTTAAAAAAGGACCATCCTAGGACCAGCAGTTAGCGTGATGGCTATGTTGCTGGACTCTAATGTAGTAGAATGCAGTTCGAATCCTGGACCCAGTGGCTTAAACTCATGCTGAGCAGATCCTGAGAGGAGAATGGAGGAGAAGGAATTGCGGTGTGGCCATCCTCCCTAGGGGGTGATTTCTTGCTTTCTGTCTCTGTCTCTGTCTTTTTAGTGAGCACACACGCCCTGTAGTAGAAACCTCTCCAAAAAAAAAGGACCATCCTTCCAGAGATGGGTGGTGACAATGGTTCCACAACAACATGAACATACTTAATACCACCGAACTGCACATTTAAAAATGGTTAAGGATCGGCCCCAGGGGGACCAGCAGTTGGTGTAATGGCTATGTCGCTGGACTCCCATGTAGTCAACCATGGTTCAAGTCCCAGACCTGGTAGCTTAAACTCACACTGGGCACATGTGTGTGCGTGCCCAAGATCCTGAGAGGAGAATGGGGGAGAAAGGATTGCAGCGTTGCCATCCCCCCTGAGGTGTGATTTCTTGCTTTCTGTTTCTCTATAGCTCTCTCTGTCTTTCTGGTGAGTGCATGTGCCCTATAACAAAAACTTCTCAAAAAAAAAAAAATAAAAGGTTAAAGACCGGCCCCAAAGCCTTCTTGGTTAGGGGAGGCAATTCCCATATGCTGACAATGGTTTAAATCTGGGCCTTGGATGTAAATTCCTCCGTGTGTGTGTGTGTGTGGGGGGGTGCTTTCTCACTTTCTCTCTCTCTGTTTCCAGCAATCACATGTGTACTCTGGCAAATTAAAAAAAAAAAAATTACCAAAAAAAAGAAGGAAGTGTATCCTCAGGAAATAACTAGATAAGTATACAAAGTACCTATTTATAATATCGATACCGATTGACTAATAAAATTACAGTATACTT